ATTGATATTATTCTGATCATTTGTGAGCGGATGATGACAGTGGAGTGTACAGAGTGGAGAGTGGAGAGTACAAAATGGAGAGTACAGAGTAAATAGCACAGTGCATAGTTTGTACACTGGGGAGTACAGACTGGAGAGCACAGAGAGGATAGTGGAGAGTGCACAGTACAAAGTGGAGAGTATAAACTGCAGCGTGGAGCACGCAGTGGAGAGTCCAGGCCTCTACTATGTAACGGACATATTCATAACTGACTCTAATACAAATTGCACTGATTATTCGCTCAAATTCTATTTTTCTTCCATCTCGAATACTATATTTAGCCCATAGCAAAAGGCTTGAAGCTTTTCATGAGTCTTATCAGAATGTGTCATCCCTTATGAAGCGCTGATCAATTTCTGTCTCTTAAGTTTTTAATTTACTCTCCATTAAATCGATTAGGTACGTTAGATGTTTGAGCTTCAGTATTTTAAGCACATTAAGGGCTAAAGTCACCACCGATTATCGCTGAGCTTAAATGGCTAAAGCAGCATACACAAATATATAAAAGTCCAATGAAAATAAGCATACAAATAGTAACCTGAGAGTTCGTCCTGGCTGCAGAAAGGACTAAGCAAATATTTGCAGCTGCAGCTCCACAAATCACAAATGAGACGAAGGCGACTGACGCAGGATGAGTTTGCATTGGCAGGAAAATGTTGTGGTTGTTGTTGTTGTTGTTGTTGCTGCTGGTGTTGTTGGTGTTGCTGTCGTTGCTGTCGTCAACATTTCAAAAGGACCTCAACATGACGGAAACGGAAACAACAACTTGCCCGCTCTCCAAGCCGAGAACGCGTTCGTTCCTGCTCCTTGCTGCTCGCTCGCTCTGACTCAGGCTCAAGCTCTCGCTCTGTCTCTGTCTCTGGCTGCCTTTTAATGACATTTTTGCGCCCATTTGAGCTTCCGTCGTTGGCTCTGTCGATTTTTGCAATAATTTACTTAAGAAAAGTCTAAATATGTTTGCCAAGCGCTGCTCCCGCCTCTCCCCAACGACTGCAACTTTATTGCCAGCAATTTCTAGCCGGCTGCCAGGCAATTGTTCATGGCGTTTATCTTCAGCGTCTGGCGATAAAATGTTGTGCGAAATCCATGTGACTTTATGCGACAATATCCAATAAATCTACGCTTGGCCCCAAGGCCTCAGTCTGCCCCCCCTAACCCAGCCCAACACACCGGGGCTGGGCTTGACCTTCGCAGGCCTTTCAACGCCAACCCTTTGGCATTTGGCATTGTTTGTATTTGCTGCCTTGTCTGCGCCCTTTCAAAGGGTTTAATTGTGCTTTTTGTCTGCCTGTTGACATAGGTAGAGCCATCCAACAATATGTCTCTCTTCCCCAATGCCCCGGATGCTCCAGTCACCATTGGCTCTTTGGCCAACGAACGTGTTAATTAACTTGTATAAATCAAGCGATAATCAACTTAGAAACTCAACTAAACATATGAGGGCCCAAGCACTGATGAAAGGCAGTTTAGATATGTTGTTTCGGGGATAAATTTTGATAAATAAACTGTTCGTATTTACTTATTAATTATTATAATATTAATTATTAATAATTTTTTAAATCAAAAAATAAAGTCTGCATATATATGAATTTTTCAGTATTGTTGTAATATAGTAAATCATAGATATTTTTATAATTAAAATTTTATAAATAAAATTTTAAATATTTATTGTGACATTTTCAAAATACATTTTGCATATGCAATTTAAGTAATTAACATTATTGCTTATTTTTATTTTTAATTTGATTTTAATCATCATTATTATTTGATTTATATTTTTATTTTATTTATTTATTTTTTATTCATTGCATAATTTTTTAGAATATTATATCTGTAGTATTATTTGTAAATATATATTTTTTTAACTAAATATTTGTTTGTATTATTATTATAATGGTTTCAAATATATTTGTTAATAAAATACCATGCACAATATTATTGTAAATATATCCAATTCATTTGATAAACATTTTAAATTTAAATTCAATAATTTACATTTAACCTGACTATTGTATTGCAATAATTGTCAGCAGTATTCCATAGAGTCTTCTGTAGTCCCCAAAGTAAGCTATTTCCATAAAACATTTCAAGTGGCCATAATAAATCCAATATTCGCCTAGCCAATGAACGGCACAATGCAGCTCGGGTCCATTTAAAAGTCAATTCACAAAGCGCGTCAAAGCTGCAGCAGCAAATCCTCTACCCCTCTCTCTATCTCTGTCTCTATCTCTCACTCGCGCTCTTCGCGATTGCGAATCCGAATGAACCGCTCATAATTCTCGCGGTTGGCTCCAGATTGAATTTCTGCAATGGATGCAATATCTTCTTCTTCTGCTATTTTTGAGATGATAAATGCCGCGTGCCACACAAACGATTTGTTGCGCATACTTTGGCGCAGAATTTATGCGAATTTGTAATGCAATTCATAAGCCGCAGCATTGCAGAATGCAACGTTTACAGAGTTGCAATTTATTGTGGCGCAGAGTTGTCGATGCTGGCAAATATATTACGCCGTCCCTTTGCCATTCCAGCTGAATGCTGCTTTCTGGTTGCTGAAAACGATTTTATATGTTAATCAGCAGCCATTTCTCTGCACAGCAATCAAATGCAATGAAATTTTCTGAGAGTGATTTATAATGAATAAAATATATTTGATATGGCTTTCAATGCAGCTGTTAACTTAACTTGAGATATATTATATTAGAAATACATTTAAGTAAAGTATTTTTCCTCTTGTTTTTTAATGTTTTATGAAGTTTTTACTATTGTCAAGCAACTTTATTTTTCAATTATTTCTCCCGAAGCTTACTTCTGAAACTCCTTTCAAAACAAGAAAAAAAAAACAAGAACTCTTCAATTTTTCCAGAACACCTTTGTCAGCAGCTTTTAAAAGTTTCTACCAAGTATTTATCAATAACTTTAAATACCTTATAGTTCTAAGACATTCTCGAACTATGACAAAAGAAAATGATGTCACAGGAAAATAGCCGAACATCTTTCAACATGTCATTATTATGATTCAACTCCTTCGGGTGTCATAAAACTCTCAGCTACATGCAAAGTCTTCCCCCAGTCCCTCTCTCCCTCTCCCTCTAATGCTCCTGCCGACCTCACATGCATGAGTTAACGCCATCTACTGGCGACAAGTTTAATTATTGAGCTGAGCACTGCCGCCATTTTGATGCTGCGCCTCACTTTACAATTTGTTTGCTTAGTCATTGAGTCATTTAGTCGTGCAGTCAGCTAGTCAGTCTGCCAATGTTGACAACGCAGCGACTTTACCGTCGCCAACTCTAAACGCTTCAGTTGGCATGTTTGTGCGCTGCGACAAAGGCAGCGGCAGCAGCAGCGACGCAGACGTCGGCAGCGCATTAAAACAATTTTGTTAATTAAGTAGGAAAAATTGTTAGTTTATTTACTCATCAACTTTGCTAGTGCCCATACCTAAGACTCATACACACTCTCCTTTCACATACTTCACCCACTCTCTTCCTCTCTCTATGTCTCTGTCTCTATCACTCGCTTTACCTTTACTCTGCCGCCTCTTGCCTATTCCTTTGGCAAGTTTTTCGCCTAGCGCGGCAAGTTTTACAGTTTGCTTTGTGCGCTGCCGCTCAAAAATTCTCAAGTGCACAATTAATTAGTAAAGTTGGCAACGCCGACTGAGCGCAAGCAAAAGCAATGCGGATCGCAATTTTCAACGCTCCTAAAATTTATGGCCCGTTCTGATTAGACTCAAGCTAGTCCCGCAAGTTGAGCGACGCGTCGGTCCCACTTAGGCCCTTACTAAATAGCTAAGCTTATCGGCCATTCTGCCTGGAAGTGGAAGTCGATTTTGAATGTATTTGCTTGGCTTCAGATTGAAAATTGATTGGAAAGTGCATAAGTAATGAAAGTGATTCGTGGACCAATCAATTGGACCAATTCAATCACTTCGTATATCACTTTGTATTTTACAAGAGCTCCATTGTTCAAACTAAAATTAAATTGAATTGGCTTCCCAATGCGCTTAAGTGGAAAGCGTATTGCCAAAGCCTACAAGGAAATTAAATCGCCATTTTACTTGAAAATCAATTTACGAAATAATCATTAATTCTTGACACACTTAAGCCAATAAATGTTTAAAGTACATAGTAAATATGTAAATATTTTTTTTTTTTCAATTTAAAATTTATATTGAAATTCAATAATTCTAATCAATTTAGCTGAAAAAACTAGTCCATTTATATTAAAAAAAAAAAAAAAAAAAACAGCCGAGCTGGTCCAGCCGTAATCATTTAATCGCAATTAAAAAATATATTTAGTCTTTATATTAATCCATGTTTAATTTTTATAAAAAAAAAATTAAACAAAAAAAAATCAATATGCATTCTGCTTTTTTACTTTCACTGTTAAAAATATTTTATGTTAACTTACATTTTTACAGTTAGTTCGCGCCATCTATCGGCTGTTTGCAAAGCTATAGAATAAGTAAATTGTAACCTGACAACTACAACGCATGGCGCTTTTGTGGATTCCGTGTGGATTTGTATGTTACCAGCATCAAATAAAATTTAACTTATTGTATACTTGAGTTATGTTAGCAGACCATATGACGTAATATTAAAAATACATATATTTTATACTTTAGTAATACTGCAATACGTAACTATAAATTATAAATAGAAAAAAACTAAGTATATCATTAATGTTTATTTGACATTCGAATGTTACCGCTGTCGATGGTCGGATTCGTCTCCTACAACTTATCGATAGTTTTACATAATAGCATGTGCCACCAATTAACTTTTATGAAACATTTTAGCAATGAAAATAAATTTAAAATATCGTTTAATAGTTTAACGATATTTTAAATTTATTTTTATTTCAGTTCCTATAGATAAAATCAAAATAAATTTAGTTAAATACGTGATCTTTCGAAAGTTTAATCAATCGATAACTTTTTAGCATCTTTAATTTTAGTTGATTACGGTCACATTGCCAGGGCGTTGACAAGGCGTTGTTGTCATTTTATAAAGTTATTTTACATTTTGTAAATAGCTGCTATTTTATTTATGAAAAATGGTTGTCTTAAGCTCCTGCTGGTCACCAATCATTCGGTCAAATAACGTGCGCACAGGCAGCTATGCAGTTGCCGCCTACACGGCAGCTCTAAGCGTTGTTTTAATCACGCTCATCAGCTACATGCTCGCTGGCGGAGAATCTGGACAGCTTTATTCGCCCCTATTTGAAACGGACATCAGGACGTCTATGCCCATCGCTGGAGGCTTCTTTATAATATACTTTCTGCTGATTATAATATCATCCTTCCTTGTGTATTATGGCATTAAGATAAGGTGAGTGTGTGGGGAAAATGTTGTGGACTTAATTAATTAATCTATTTTATAGCACGCGTGGCTGGCTCTTGCCCTGGCTATTTTTGATTGGACTTGCGATTCTGTTTCAATTCTGCTGGAGCCTTTGGTTAATTGGCGGCTACTACATATACGTGAGTATATATTATAAATATGAATTGCATTGCAACTAAATACCAATTTTTTTAATAGTTGGAGCAAACATTCTCAGCGCTAATAAACTTCGTTTGGGTTGCCTATAATGTAAGTTAAATAAACAATTCCAACGCAGTATTTAAATGCAAATTTAAACTTCCCTCTCATTTAGATATACTGCTGGCTCGTTGTTTTCTCGCAATACCAAATCTTTCTGGAAATACAGAACCCTAATATCGAACTCTTGATGCCTTAAGAGCGAGTTTCCCTTCGAAATGCCAATCGAATACGCAAAAAGTTAAATGAATCTTCATTTTAAGTTTTATTTATAAGTACCAATGACTACACAAACATTCCGTCCATATTCTACATATCAATGATGTTGTATTCCATTTACCGAAAGTGTCTTATATACATATACATAAATACATATTCAATTTACACATATGTATGTCTATACACAACACACAGAGAATATTATTATACATTTACATTTATACAAAAGTAAATATGTTTGTTTTCTTTCTGTTTATTAACTATACAAATCTTAAAATTCTATATAAATTATGGAATCTACAAATCGGATCCAAAATGCCAGCTGAGCTTTGGCTTTTGAACCGTATAAAATATAGAATGTTTATTTTAGTATTTGTTAAATTTTATTTTATACATAATATATTTATTTATATATTTAGATTGAAAATTTATACAGGTATTGACGAACCTTTTAAACCACCGAAAGCAAAATGTGGTTTACATTGGGGCGAAAGTAATAATACAATAAGTTTAATTTGCGAATGGGGTTTGTGTGTGTGGGTGAGAGTGTGATTGTGTCTGTTTCTGTTTGTTTGTGGGTGTGTGTGTGTGTTTACATATTAACTACAGTTGTAGGAAGCGAATAATTTACATAGTGCTGAGCCCTGGTCTAATCGTAATGGCTAAGAGTGTTTAACACAAAAAACTGTTTCCACAAAACATTGTTTAAGTTTTCTCCTCTTTTTCCTTGTTGTAGCGCTCCAGCTCCTTCAGAAATTGCGCCTTCGGCTTCATGACGTTGGGTCGCTCGCCGCGGCAGTTCGGACAGAACCATTTGCCCTTCGGCTTAAGCACAAGTGAGACGCACGAGAAGTGGAACCACTCGATGGGGCACAAATCGTTGTCACAGAGTATCATTTCGCCAAACGAAATCTGAGAGGAAAGAGACATTCATTAATATGTATTTTTATATATTTTTTCTTTCACTCCAATCTTACCTGGTTGCATACACAATACGTGGGCTCATCCGGATCGATGGGCTCAGGCGGTGGCGTTTCCTCGCGAGTATTTGCCGCCGTATTAGTAGCGCCCGCGCCGCGCACTTTACGTTTCTTCTTTTTGCCGGAATTGCTGCCGCCGCCATTGCCACCGGCACCACCTGCTCCACCGGACACGCCGCCGCCCGACAATTGTACTTGACTCTTGCGCTGCCCCAGACCACTGCCGCTGGCCATCGAAGACTTGCGTTCACTGTTCCCGTTCCCACTGCTGCCCGCCTCGTTGGCCGAATTGGATTCATTGCCGCCCATCTCAGTGGAGCTGCCGTTGTTGGGCAGGCTCTCGTTGCGTCGCCTCGAGCGTTTGCTGCCGGAACGCTGCAGGTCACTGTTGCTGCCACAATAGGAGCTATTGTAGCCGTTGCCACCGCTGCTCAGATGGTTGGAACGATCATAGGTGGGCGTCGAGCTGCCGCCATTGCCACTAATGCCGCTGCCACTGGAGCCTGACACGCCGATAAAAGGCAGTGCACCATAGTGATCCTTGGAAACGTTGGCCGCGTTGCCGCCCAATCCGCTGCTATTTAACACATTGTTGCCCGCACTGTTGCCCTGATCACACATTGGACTCTGGAGCCGCTGCAGCTTCGATGGCGGGCCATCGTCCAGCTGCGCGTAACGCTCCCGCTCCTCCTTCAGGTCGAGATTCTGCTGATCTGTGTCCAATTGCCTAACCTTACCGTCTATTATCTCCTGCAGCAGATTCACAATCTGCATCTTCTCATCGCCCAGCTCCTGGGCCTGTATCAGGCTCTGGTGCATGCGCGCTATGGAGCGGCAGCGCCGATTGGTGTCGGGTGAGTTTTGGTGCAGCACGTAGAGGTCATAGTAGTGATCCACGTCCCGTATTAATCCTGGAAAGAGGCAGAAAACAGAGAGGTTAAGTGAAATTTTTGCTTGGGTATTTTTCGTCTTACCTCGGTATTGGACATCGATGTCCCGTATGCGAGAGAGCTGGCGCTGAACATCGTCGGGCAGATTCTCTACGGAATCGAGATAATTATCCACATAAGTGGCCGAATTTATGGCCTCTGACTCGGATGCAATCATGTTGTGATTTGTCTTGTTACACTTGCTAATTGCGCTCCTACGACATTGATTTGGGTGCAGCGGTGTGCTTCATTACAAACTAACTCTGAATTAGTTGTTTGCAAACTAGTCAACTTAGTTTCTACGCTGCAAAATATAAGTTTCAATTTTTTTAAGATGTTGCGACTGTACGCCTGTGTTTGTGTATGTGCATGTGTATAGTTTGTGTGTTGGAAAGCAAGCAAATATGGCCTGTTAGCGTTAACATTCGCAATGCGCTAACATTTCTATTTGAGTTGAACCACGCGTTAACATACCGAAAAATATGCGTTAACATAAGACTGTTAAGCGGACTATTGAAGTAATATTAATATTTCCACAATTTTTGAAAACTCTCCCTTGTTTTTTTTAAATTTTATTTTAGGGCTGAATTGCCAGGATTACTTTCGGGAAACTAAAAAGTACGAGTAGCGTTAGACTTATATACTGAAAGTCGTATTAACAGCGGGTTTACAGCTCGCAATAAGTACAATGTGCGCGATATTTTGAAAATTTAAATTTGTCCTTTTGTTCTATTGTCTCAAGTTTCATATTCCCATATATTCGCATATATTCGTTTTCATAAAGCTAACAATCTTTATATTTATTTTTATGTATTCAAATGGACATATAAAACAATTGTCAAATTAAACAATACAATAAATTTGACTTTATAATAACTTTGAGCATTCTGACGTCTTGTATAAAACGCGATGTGAGCATTTTTAATTGGCAATTCAGCAACTGTCGAGATTTATTGACAATTATTAGATATTTCTTAACTTGACTTTTAGATCTTGAAGACGTGTAATTGTGAATACCACTCTTTATCTAGCCAACAGGTGGTCCATGCAATCCTGTATAGATATTTTGCAATATGAAACATCTGTGTATAGCGATTCGAAAACATTTTTGGCTATCTTTGGGTATTTCACAATACATCGCAGCCTGGGCAGCCACATGGAAATGGGGTTTCACCGACACGCAATCAACGTGCGGCAAATTGAAGCAAAGCCAAAGACTAAGACCCAAGTTTAGCTAAAACACTTGCCGCAATGTCAACCGGGGCCGGGCTGGGGGTCTTAGTAGAAACGTTGTTGTTTTGGTTGTATTTGTTGTATTTGTTGTTGGTTTTGTTGGTATGTTGGTATGTTTTGTAGCATTTATCTGGCTGCAGCACAGTGACAACGAGCTCATTCAATTCAATTCAACCAGACGCGTTCCATGTGGCTCGGTGCTGCTCTGTGGCTCCTCCGATCGCGCTTAGTGCCTAGTGCTTAGTGGACGTACGTGATAAATATGCGAATTCCTAGCACTCTCGCCAATATGTCCAGCGTTTTCATAGTGCTATTACCGCTCTGGTGCTTACTTTCCCCCATTCAACCGGCAAAAGGTTGTAGATAAGGCAAAATATCTTCTCTCCATCATTCTCTCTCTCTCTCTCTCTGTTTCTGTCTCGCTCTGTTTGTGTGTGTGTGATAAGATCATATGTGAATCGTGTTTTCTTTTTTTGCCCAATAGCCAAATTCAACTTGGAGGCATTGCAATTTCTGTTGCGCAATGGAAATTTCGACATAAATCCATTTAATTGCCATTTATTATCGTGGAGCACGTGCCCAATGGCCTACATTGGATATCGGCTGTATACCAGGTGAGCTGAAACGAGAATCAATTAGTAAGAAGTATTTAACATTAAATGTGATAAGTATATGAAGATATTTGGTACTTTCTGTACTTAAAAATTTACAAAATCATGTAATAATAACAAATAAATTAAAATTGAATTGAATTGAAAAAAAAAAATGAAATTTAAGAACTTTTACTTTTCCAAAAGTATTTGATGTGTAATCAGATTATGACATGAAAAAAAAAAAAAAAAAACAGAAATAAATTATTACTAAATTTTTATATTTCAAAAGGTATTTCCATCGACAAAGATGCTGTAACTGTACCTAAAAACGAAATTGTCTTCATATAGATAAGACCTCTAATACCTCTATTTTAAAGCAAGAAATAAGCCCTGTCTGCTTGATATATCTATGTATATCTTTGCATAGATTTATGTTTTATACATATACTACTGTAAAAAATTTTTATCAGTTATATATAATATTTGTATTTCTTTCATATACATAGTTTTTAAATATTTTTCTATTTATATTATGCACATTTATTTACATTAATCATATTTATTTATTTTCCTAAAGCACTTTCCAATTTTCCTGTCCACTTGGCCATTTATTTTCAAATATTGAAAATTCAAGGAAAAATGCCTTGAGCAACCTGCTTGCAAGACTTTTCCATGCCCCTAAAGTATGCATTATTCCAAGCTGCGTCCAGTTTCGGTCGTCCAACTTTTACCTCATACATAACTTAAACCACATTTAATCTTAAAGCAATCTTTCACTTTTCATGTGCCCTTGTTGGGGGCTTCAGATATTTTGTCACAAAACCACTTTACGTCTCTTGCTCACAAAGAGGGCAATGGAAAAGTGAAAAATGTTGGAAAAGTTGGAAAAACATTTATGCGGTGCACAGCATGAAATTGGCTCTAGCGAAAAAGATTTATTAGATAATATTTTGGAGTGACATGTAGTGCAGCCAATTGCCTGAAATCATATGAAATTATCCTATCAGAGAAACGAGAATTATACGAAAGACTTAGGCAACAAACTTGAACGCCTCTTCTACGTTTATTGTCTAACACTTTCGTTTCAATCTTTCATAATAATTAATCATATCAAAACAAAAAACAACCGCAAAGTGAGTGTACGCATTAAAATATATATAGCATCTATAACCATTTGAAATTTACATAATATCGTGCTTAGGCCAAATGAAAAACTAAAGCACAGGAGAAAAACAAATTACAGCGCCGAAAACCGCGGATGATAACACACGGCGGACCAAGTGACGTTGACTGCGAAAAACGCGAAAAGGCGAAAACAAAACCAAAAGCCAAAACGCAAAGCTAAAAGCAAAGTCAAAGCAAGCCCGAAAAGCAAGATGCTGGAATGCTAAATACCCTGTAAATAATGTGAATTCTAATGGATGTTAATAATGAACTAAGCATAATATATTCTAAACATTAATT